TTGTAAGCTTCAAGAAAAAGATTAAAGAGTCAATAACTTTTCTAATATAAACTTTTTAAATGGACTATGTAAAGTTTGCGTTGTATACACTGTAGTTGTAGAGTTTGAATGTTTCACTAAACCAGTTTCAGCGAAGAAAGATAAGGTTTTCTTAAAACACATATATGGTTTTATTAACAGTATGTTTGTGTGAGAAGGTGAGATGAAGGGAAACAACACTGTCCCTGCGTCTCGGTGAAAGTGAGAAAGCAATGTACTGTTTCTTTGTCCTTTCTATTAAAAGCACCTGAGCTCAGCAGTGGTACTCTCTTCCTGCTTGTTTTGGCTGGATCCAGGCGTTTATCCAACTCCGACAGATAGGCAGACAAACAGAGGGTTACCCTTTTCTCCAGTAATCGAACAGCAAGTTAAAGTAATACTGTGTCAAGAAATATAAGCTGTTCAAGAAACCCAATCGGTTGCACTCATAATAATGTTCAACATTTCACTGTTTCTCAGTGGATATAATCGGCTTCATCGCCGTTGATATGAAACCATATATAAATCAGTTTCTTTCCCCAAGAGCTTGCAAAGCATGGCAGGGTGAAAATGTGTTTTTCATTACATGAATGCTTTTCATTTCCAGTTATAGGGTGAGCTGATGCCAGCCACTTTTGTTTGTGAGTGACCTACATTCTCTCACTGTTAACAAAGCTTTGGCTCTATTGATAGCTGCAGACTGGACTCTCTCAAGCAAAGGGCCAAGAGAATAATTAAGCTAGATTAAATGGTCATTTAGATTTGCTGAAGCTTTGAGTGGGATTTCACTGAAGCCCAGTAGATTTCAGATGACCCTGATGAGTTTTTCTGCAACAGCTCTCCAGTTTAAAATTCCAGCAAGTATTGGCCTTTTCTCTGCAAAGAGCAGAGATGATGAAGTTACCAGTCAGCGGAAATATGACAAGGCGCTTTACATGCACGCTGTGACAAAGAAAACAATCAGATGATTAAATAATGTCACTTGTTTCTCAGCGAGAATCCCATTCACTTACACAGAGACCAGAAATCAGAATAGATTAGAGCTGGAACTAATTTCTATTTTGGTGAGTCAGCAAGACTTTTGTAATTTTGCCTCTCTGAACGACCACAGTTGATTTTAATTTTGAAACTCTGATGATTTGGTTGAAGTGTATACCTTCTGTTTCATGTTTTTGAGGTTCAAAAGTAACTGGAAACACCCCAGAAAAATTACATATAAGGATTGGCTTGAGTGCTTTTTGCAGCCAGAGCATGCAGCCATGCATGCCCATGTCATAATACTGCCTCCAACATGACTTACAGATAATGTGGTATCCTTCAGATTCTGAGCTGTTTCTTATTTTCTCCATGTTTTCTCACCATTCTGCGAGATACGAGATAGTCTTGGGTTCATATTTCTAATTAAATGTTTTCTGATGAAGTCTGTTATGATCGTCTTGTTCTTAATTGTAAACAGTGATCTGTGCCTTGCTGTACACCCTCTGTATAGAGGTCTCTATTGATTGGAGAAGTGACAATTTCACACCTGCTTCTTCAAGAGTGTTCTTGACTTGGTTTGATGTTGTGAAGTTGTTTTTTTGGGCATCAAGTGGACGATGGGAATGATGCCATCATCCACTTTCCTTTCTCCTGTGGTCTTTTAGGCTACAGTTGGTCAGTGCATTGATTCCCTTTGACAATCTACTAGATAATTTTGCTTTCTCTCTGATAGGTTTATTTTGGTTTTTCAACCTTAATTTGCACTGAGATGTCTTTGCGTCTCATACTGACAGTTCCATTGTGAAGACGGTAAACTCAAGCTGAACGACTGGACTTTTATCTGCGTAGCTTGTCATGGAACATCGAGGATACAGGCATCAACCGGCTATAAAACTGCTTGGCAGTCCAGTGATAGTTGAGCCTCTTGAAATAACTGTGCACAAAAATTGATTTAACTCCTAAACAGTTAATGCAATACTTTTGTTAAATCCTTATTACTTAAAAAGTACTTCAACCAACTTTGCACTATTTCAGTTAACATATGAGAGAAAAATAACACCTCGTTGAAGCCTGTAACTATGAAATAATATTATCTTACAGGATTTTATGAAGACTGATTAATGAGGTAATTCTCTCTGCAAGAATCCATGTAACTGTGCATGTCTAACTTTGCGTAATCTAAAATCTCTGCAGTCGTTTTGACTCACCACCATCAAAGCCAGTAAAAACAGACATACTCAAAATTTATTAAGAAGGTTGATTAAGTCTGATTAAAAAATAAACTGTAAATAAATCGACAAGAAAAGAGAGCATTTATTGTCAGGGAATAATAAACCATAATAAAGATGCATAAGTTAAAACTGAAAATAATTTCTAGAGGAAAATAGAACACACAACAAACCATTTATAATAAAAAATGCTATTTAAACAATAGGAGAAAAACATTTTCCTTTTCTTTTTCCAGAATGCAGGCACAACCACACTTACAGAGTGCTGCATTTTTTTTTTTTGGCCTGTTGTATTTGTAATATTGTGCTAATCACAGAGAAGCATGGAAGCATGAAAACAAAACTGGTTATTGTTATTTCATGCTAATAGCTTTTCTTGACCACTAGTGCACGAACATGCTCAACGTCTGGGATCAGAACACCCTGAGTTAATGAAAAGGGTTGGCTCTTTATTTGATTGTAGTGCAGTTTCCTTCTGTGCATCGAAGTGTACTTGTATTTATTATAGGCTGCAGCATGATGACAGCAACTGTATTCTCAGTAACTATTGAACTGTTTAAAAGTCAGAGGGTGTATTTGCAGACTTGATATTAATCACTTCACAAGGAGGACCATGCAGACAGAGTGCATTACCTACAGACAAATTATGTAGATTTTAAGCTAAGCTACTTACCGCAGAGTGGATTACGAGCCAGATGCACATTCATTTTTATTTTCACTTGTCAGCCTCCCGCCCGTAAGTCAGAGTAGGTAGATTGTATTAGAGGGATGATATTCAATCAAATCAAAAGTAGAACACGTTCCATAGTTCCCAGTAAGCTCAGTTAGATCAGGTAAAAATCTTTCATTCAGTCTCACTCTTCTGGGTTATTTTGTTCTCATTAGCGCAACATAGCAGAAAAACTTTGGCAGCAAATAATTTGGTTTTTAAGGTTATTAAAATCATGGCATTGATTGAAACTCACACAGGTCTGCACCTCGCTGAGTTAGCACTCTTAAAGGTGAAATATTAATTGTACTGTTACCATGAGAACGGATGAAGTTGGTCAGTATGTGCAATGGCTAACTCCAGAGACAGAGTACTGTGCAAAAGTCTTGAGCCACCCCTTTATTCTTTATATTTTGCTAGAAAAATTGCAGAAATTGGAAATAGGTGAACTGTTCAAATGGAAATGGAACTATCCATCCATCCATTCTCTGCTACTTATCCGATTCAGGGTTGGAGACTATTACTATCACCTACCATAGGGCGAGATGTGGGGTACACCCTGGGCAGGTCATCAGCCACCGTGCAAAACTTCAACACAGCCTGGACTTTCTTGGGCAAGCTTACGTATAATTTCTTTAAGTAGTCTTCAGGAATAGTTCCCAAGGCTTTTTGATGGACATTCAAAGCTATTTTTTGGATTCTGGCTGCCTTGTGTTCTGTTCTCTGTCAAGATGATCCCACACTCCTTCATAATGTTGAGGCTCGGGATCTGGGAAAGCCAATCCATGACTAATTCGGTTCCATTATGTGTTTTTCTATCCAGGTATGCTTTTACTCCATTGGCAGGGTGTTTGGGATTATTGTAATGCTGAAAAATGAAGCTGTTGCTAATCAGATTCTTTCCAGGCGGTATTGAATGGTGGATCAAATTTTAAATTTAAACTCCTTCAGACCTTTTGCCACTGATTTTTAGTCCAGTTATTGTGTGATTTGCTATACCTCAGCCTTTTCCCCCATGTGTTCCTTCCATAAGAATGGCTTCTTGACAGCCCACCCTTCCACTGACATCATCTGTAATAGTGTGTGAATAGAAGATGGCTCAGCGCTTAGACTTGATCTATCAAGTCTAAGCGCTGAGATAGATAGATAGATAGATAGATAGATAGATAGATAGATAGATAGATAGATAGATAGATAGATAGATAGATAGATAGATAGATAGATAGATA